ATTATTATTATTATTATTAATTATTATTATTATTATTAATTTTTTGTGCTTAATCATTCTTACATATTTTTGTACCAACAATATAAAGTCCAACATCTCTCAAATTATCGTTGATCTTAAAGATGCTCATACTACTTTTGAGCCTTCCTGTTATAATGCATTTACATTTAGGCAAAGTATTCGACTTTATTCATCAGTAGATACTAATGGATATCAGGTAAAATGATTAAATGTATATACGCATAATGAAAATTATTATTAATTATTAATTTAATAATAAATAGGCTATCAAAGTGTATTCTGATAGTCAAGATCCTTCAAATACTGGGTGTGAGGTTACTTATATTAACGGTTATCCTGCCTTAGAGGCAATTACTGATTATGCTAACAAATATATTAGAAGATCTCGTGATCCTGGTGTAAGATTTAACATGGTATTGACTTCTCTTCGACTAAAAAATGGTACCTTTGATATATATGAGGGTGATTTTGCTTATAATACGCTTTTACCAGATGCTGAGAGTATTACCTATGATCTCAAATGTTCTAATACTATTAAAAAAGTAATAAGATATTGGATGATTGCACATAATGAAGGCATATATAAAGAGTTTAAAGATTTTTATAGCTTTACTGATTCTAAAAGTTATTATGATTCAATTTGCCTTAATGCAAAAACACCATCGGATACTTTTAAGCAGGCAAAGTATGATGATACGCTTAGATTGCCATCTGGTTATTTAAACTTGGAAAATAATGAGATAACAATTACCGGTGAACTAATTGGAAATGTTAGTGATTTTGCAACTTTCATTAAATTTAATGAAACTGGTGTGGTGGTGGTGCCTTCTTTTCTACCTAAAAATTTTATGAGTGATGTGAATGGTTTTTTAACTCAGCTTACAGCTCAATTTGATCTATTTAATAAATCTGGTGTAAAAAAGGTATGTAATTGGTTTCATGCAAATATTAAAAAAGAAAGTGCATATAAAATATTTTATACGTCTAATAACATCCTTGTAATCATAGGTGGTCTTTGATTTTATTAATAACGAAGGTGGTTTTGCATTGCTTTCACAATATTTCAATGATCTCATCTTCCCACAAAATAGAGTAGCATTTCCGCGTGACATGAAGATTAATAATGTAACAACGTTTCTTCTTAAACAAGCTGATAAGCTAAATCTTCAATTATTTAATTTTTCTCCTAGATCAAAATTATCTTATGATACTGGTGAATCATTTGATAATTCGGATGCTTTTATTGGAAACAATTCATTCACGAGAGGTGGTGTAACTACTAAATATTCCAGTTTATATAGTGAAATATTCGACATAACCTTTTTTGCAAATTGGAAATTTCCATGGACTAATAAGGATATTATTATACTTACTAATGGGGCTTGTGGATCTGCTTGTGCACAAACGACTCAATATCTATCAGAACAGGCTAAAATTGCTACTGTTTCTGTTGGAGGCCTATATAATAGCAACATGTCATATAGTTCGTTCCCCGGCGGAAATGTTGTATCAATTGATGATCTATTTAAAGATGTTAATATTATTATAAATACTACTACCGATTACCCTAAAATACCTAAAAATTTGAACATTGCAATGTATTCTTTTGGACTTTCATTATCCGAAGCTTACAGTATTTCATTTCCGAATTTAGTAACTGAATTTATATACCGGCCAGCAAACTATAGATTATATTATGATGACAAAAGTATCTATGATCCTAGTTTGTTATGGCTACAAGCTGTAAAATTCATTTCATAAGCCTAATTTAAAGCCATATACTAAATCAGAACTTATTTCTCTCAATTTACTAGCACCTATCTAGCAAAAGACGTACCAATATTTCAAAAAAGTTCATTTAGCTATGTACAATATATATATATATGTAATTATTATAACCTACATCAGTGGTTATAAATAACCACTCCTATTAGAATAGAGTTAAGGTTAATGTACTCCTAATATCTCTTCCTAACATTTAAGCCTAGTTAGGATTTGGTTTAGGAGTTTATATTCAGTATTTATTTAGTATTTATTTAGTTGTACAGCTTTAAGATAAATACAAGATTTTTATATAAAATGTTTTTTTAAATACAGTATAACATAATATATATTGTACAGTGGGGCGTTATACGTATTATTGTAAACACTTTTTAAAAATTTGTACAAAGCTAAATATATAAGATATAAAGTTAAAATCTATATTTTAAATAAAAAATGAGTATAAAATTCTGTGCAGTACTTTTTAAGATAATTAAATTATATAATATTGTGTAATGTTATACATATATTAAAATAGTAATTTTTTAAATTTTGTTTAGCATAGCAAATTATATATAATTTTAAAGAAAATTACTACATATCACCAGTGGTAATTCACCAGCCTAAGATTTGTTAAAGTTAGAGTTAGAAATTAGAGAATTAATTTTTTTTATGTAATATAATATAGAGCTAATATAAGGTTCCAATTTCAGTTCTCAAAGGTTTTTGGGGTTCTGAATATTTTTGCTTAGAGTACCTAATTCTGTTTACTTAGTATGTTTTTGAGATATAGCAATGCCAGTGATGATTACCAGTAGTAATAAATAGCAAATTTCAATTTTAAATTTTTAGAAATTTTAAACTAGATACTATTATTAAATATAAAGTTAAATTATTTAATTTAAAATTACTAAATATAGTAATTAAATTATTATATATAATTTATAAAATTTTCAGAATATTAACAGTTTGCTATGCTAAATAACTTTATTTAAAAAATTATTAGAGTTGAAAAATTTAACAATTGAACAAATAATTAAATAATTTTAAAGTTAATAACAAAACAATAAAAAATTACAATAAATATACAAATTTACTGGAGATGAAAATAATGATAAACTTTTTTAAAAGTCATAATTACTTCTGTATCTATTGGTTGTATTCTTGAAGAGTATATTTAGATAAAAAATAAATATCCACATTTTGAAGAGTTAACCTATTTAACTTATGACTAGAACAATTGTCAAGAAGTAAAAGAATATACTGACCTTTATGCTTTCATAATGTTTGGTAGTCAAAATTCTGAAGTCACTTTGAAAAAGAACTATAAGCATTCAAGCTTTGGTATTATTTTTATTTTTATTTTTATTTTTTAATGTTAAAGGTGAGACCATGCTCTTATCTTTATTAAACTTAATGAAAACTTTTTACATAATTGGAAAAGG